CCAGAGCCCACCACGGGAATTGCCCCCCCTTGGTAATCTTGCAGAATCACATTGCAAGGGTCTAGCCTCCTTTTTGAAATCTTCGGAACAAGACGTTTTATGGTGGCCCAGGATATGATGGAGGTGGCTGACCCTGTGTCCACCTTCATGTGGCACGGCCTTCCTTCGATGTACACAGTGAGGTGGATTTTATTTTTAATGAGCCCTTCATCTGGAATGACCATATGGACTGTGGAGAAGCTCCGGGCATCGCGGCTGCGCTCTGTCGTCGGGCGGAATTGCCGTTGTCCTTCCTGGTTACTAGGAACCCTCACTCTCGACTGCGGCTGCGCAGACCGGCAGGCTCTTGCTATGTGGCCTTGCCGGCCACAGCGGCGGCAGACAGCGTCTTTAAACCTGCACGAGGCACATAGATGGTCCCCTCCGCAACTATAACACTCAGTGACTGCTCCTCTCAGTGACTTAGCCACAGACATTTTAACTCTCACCTCATGTACTCTGCAGACAGAGCTCGCCATCTGAGTCGGATAGGCCGCCCTCACTTGTCTCATTCACTAATAAAGCTTCCCTATTCGGCTTGGGTGGGCTTTGTCCCCGGGGCAGCTCCGCAATTGATAGATTAGCCAATTCTGCCGCGCAGGCCTCGTCAAGCGCCATTTGGAACGTCAGTTCATGGTTCACAATTAAACGCCTTTTAAGGTTCTGATCTCTCACTCCGCTCACTAGCCTGTCTAAGAGATAGTCATCCAGGTTCACGAACTCGCAATGGCGCGCAAGCTTCCTTAACACGGCGACATATTGGTTTATTGTCTCCCCAGGGGCTTGATCCCTATGGTAGAACTGCTGTCTGTGGGCAATCCTAGAAGGCGCAGGGGTGTAATGGCATTTCAATTTATTCATAAAAGCCTCCCACGTTCCAGCATGTATGGATTGAGGGGCCATCAACGTCATAGCAGTATCGAACATTTCAGCCCCACAGAAACTGAGGAAATATGCGTGTTTGCGCTCGGCAGACAAGTTCGTGTAGTCGTTTGCAATAAAAAACCAGTCAAAACGGGCCACATATGCCTCCCAAGTCTCAGTAGCCAGATTGAACGGAGGAAATGTCTGTGAGGATGCCATTATCATTGCGTCTTAAGACTCACGCCTCTCCTCACCTCAGGCTGTCAGTTTACCTCAGGCTCAACTCACACCTACTATTGTTAATTTGGCAGATTCAACATCCCACCTTCGTCGCCAGTGGTGTGTTCTCGAGCAGACGATGAATTACAGAGGTGGATTATAACGGTAAGTATTTATTTACCTCACAGCTACAGCTCTAACACAATTCAGAAGAAGTACAATACGAAGAACCTCGAACTCAGCCTGACAGCTCTTTTTATACCAACTGTCAGACGGCTTAACCAATAGGAACATCCAACGTTACAAAGGATCCCAACAGGGGCCAATTCTCTTGAGCATGCTCAGAACACAACAGCAGGAGTCCCTGGTGTGTGAGGAAATTTCACTGTAACAGGCAACATTAACACAAACAAATGAAAAGAGCATTTTTGCTTAAAAGAATTTAGGCTCCTCCTGTAGCAATCAAATTCTTATCTTCCTCTCTATGGCAAGTTTTCATACAGTACATAACAATATCCTGCATTGAATGTATAATAACAGATAAAATAAAATGCTTTTCTAGAATAATCCCCCAGCAGCACTAGAGATGGGGAGATTAGACTGAATATGAGCTGCAGATGTAGTTGTTCAAATTATTTCTCAAATAAATGATTGGTAATGTAGTCGACCTTACACATTATTATTGCTAATGAAATTTGCATTTTTTACTGACAATTTCCTTCCCAAATGAACTCACGGAATTACACACATTACAGCTTCATATATCGCAACTCAATCTCCTTTATGCATATGGTATTTTTGTGCCTGGGTGAAGCCAGCAAACCCAAATTGATGAATGTGTTGCCATTCTGAACAACAGAATACTGTAAAAAAAAAGTGGGGGGTGAGACACATGCATTGCTGTTGCATAAAAAAAAAAAAAATCAAAAGCCTAAAGAAGAATAAACCAACAAATAACCTTTTCCTTCCCTGAAAAATTAGTACAAACTGAGTGAGAATAGAGAGAGAGTTGCAGATAATCACATTTGCTTTTTAGTAAAACAAACAAACAAAAACTCCTGCCAGGAATTATTCAGTCTTTCATAGTCTGTACCTATATTGGATCAGCCACTTAAACAGAAGGAAAGACAAGAACTTCTGGATTGAGTCCAGAGTGGGATAAACAGAATCTACTGTTCCCGCGGGTGGGGCCAGGATTAGCATCTAATGATGGGATTATATTGTAACCCAATAGAAGCCAAGAGGGACAGAAGAAACTGTATCAAAGATAGGATTTGACCCAGTCCTTGGAAGACTTAGGTCTAGGTGAAGGGAAGGTGATTCCAGTTACTTCACAAAAGACTTTCCACTCTTAGGAAAATATGCTAGTTTGTAAATATGTGTCTTCTTATCTACCCTGAAAAATTAGTAACAATGATTGGGCAGGTGTGTGTGGGGAACAATGAGGAGATGATATTAATCTGAACATCCTATTTTTTAAAAAAAAGAAAAACAATTTTTGGAAATGTGTATGAAGCTTATATATGCCGAGTTGTGTAACTTTTTAAGTAACTTTAAAAAAACCATGCTTTATAAGAAATTAGAAGTCTGAAGGAGGATTGTAATATATTCCTGATGGTTATATATCCTTTAATTCTTAGAAGGAAATATTCTTACTTTAGTCTAAAGAAGTGCAATTCTAAATGGCATGTAAGGCTTAGGGAAACCAAGCAGATTGCTTACTTCAGATTTCCCTTTGAACACATAAGCTGGTGGTGGAACCAAGCCAGAGAGAGCATGATAAAGTAGGGTGCATGAGAATAACCCTGTCTTCACATAGATATGTACCATGGGTATTTAACACCTGATAAATTGTCAGACATATACAAAAGTATTTCAAATTTATGTTGGAAAAGTAAATATAAAGAAGGACATTTTTGCCATCTTTGATGGACATGATAGCAATAGCCTTTAGATTTATATACCACTTCACAGTGCTTTACAGCCCTCTCTAAGCAGCTTACAGAGTCAGCATATTGTCCCCAACAATCTGGGTCCTCATTTTACCGACCTCGGATGGATGGAAGGCTGAATCAGCCTTGAGCCTGGTGAGATTTGAACTGCCAAATTGCAGTCAGCTGGCAGTTAGCAGAAGTAGCCTGCAGTACTGCATGGTAACCACTGTGCCACCTAAAGAAATACAAGATAGGATTCATATTTTAATATAGAAGAATCTTAAAGTGAATATAAAAATTAAACCAGAGACTTTTCTTTTAGGCTTAATGGACAAAGAACTTGGAAAAAAAAGTCTGGAAGCTTGCTTTTATATATATTGACAGTAGCAATAATTCTTTATGTACAAAAAAAATGGAAAGATACTTTAATTCCCATGATGGATGAATGGCTGGAAAAATTGATGGAACTAGCAGAGATAAATTAATTGCTCTTATCAAGAAAAGAATTCATCTAACTTTTTTCTGTTGAGAAATTGCTTCTGGATTTTTTGCTTGAGATGGAAAAAAAATGAAACATTGACATTGGGTTTTGCTAATTAGATAACTTTTTTGTTATAGAAATGGCTAGTGCATATTATGTAAAAGTAAAAGGTCGAGCTCTAGTGTTATTATTCTACTGTGCTAAAAAGAGTTGGAAGTCAAAGTTTTTTCTTTCTTTATCTTGCACTTCTTTCTTTCCTTTTTTCCCTCCCCCATTTTTTTACTATTTTCATTTTCATTTGTATTTTATATTTTATATTTTAATAAGCTTAATTAAATTAAATTAAATTAAAATTAAACATGATGGCAAAGCATGAGCAGACTCTACACATGATGAAAACGTGAGCGCTCTGATGGTGTCTTGGACTAAGGCGATTCAACCACACTATGAATGATGACATCCAATGTTGACTGGGAGTCACACCAACCATAGCAAAGCCAGGGGAAGGAAGACTTAGATGGTGAGGACAGCCTTGCGTCTGGACCCTGTTGGCTGGAGATCCCATGGCAGACCCAAGAAACGGTGGATGAATCGCATTAAGGAGTACATGAAATGTGTGGGCATCACCCCTGAAGATGCCCTGGACCGAGCCAAATAGAGATGGCTTTGCCGACAAGCAGACCCTGTCATATTGTGCTAATAACACTAGGAAGAAGAAGTTGTTTAATAAAATTATCTAAAAAGAGGGAATAAGTCTGGTTTTCCCCTCATACAATTCTGTTTGTTGCATCAGAGGAGTGCTATTATTTTTGCTGTCATCACATAAAGTCTCTGAAAGAGGATAATTCGATAAATAAACCAGGTAAATCGACACATAAATAGAGCCTGGTCATTTGTGGCTTGAGTGACAGTTCTGGATTGGTTGGTTCAGTGATCCTTTAGTTTGCTTTCTTATCTGTCCATGATATTCTCAGGAGTCTTTTTCCAATGTCTCCTCCCCCCCGCCCCGTTCAAAACCATCAATACTCTTCCTATCTTGCCTCTTCAAAGCCCAACTTTCACTTCCATAAAGTATCACAGGGAATACCGTGGCTTACACAATTTGGATCTTTGTAGATATACACATATCATGGCATTTGAATATCTTTTCCAAGTGCTTCATGACTGGTCTACCAAGTGCTAGACAGCAACATATTTCTTGAGTGGGAATGTTAAACAGGTGCTTTTAATGTAATAAGCTTTAGCTTTTTTCCCCAAGGTGGACTTATTGTGAATGTATGACTTTTCTTACATACAGTTGCTGCTGGGAGTGATAGCACTGATATTACCTAATTTGGGTAATGAAACAGAAGCTCAGAGAACACCAAGCCCCCCCTCATGTTGAGAGTGAGTCAAGAAGAAGATTCATTTCAGTCTGAATTTTCTAAAGGACTTGATATTGCTGAAATGAAGGTGATGAGATTCTGGAATACTTGAAACGAGCTCTATAAATCCTTGATGTTATTGTGATCCCGTCTTGGGAGAAGGACAGAGAAGGAAAGACAACAAAATGAGATTTCCATTCCATTTGCAGTATTATCTACTGTAATTCTCCCCACCCATTCCTGTCCTTTCAGGGCCACTTATAGAATCAGATGTGTATACCCTTTCTAACAGGAAGGAAAATGGCCAGTTTCTTTGTCAGGATATAGGTACATGTGAGAGAACCTGGCCTTGTAGCATTGTGGTGGCTACCTCTGGCCCAAAAGTGGCCCAGCTGATTAGATTGATGGCTTCCTGACGTCAGATGCAATCCGTTAAAAGGTATTTATCTCAGGCTTGGGCCAAAGCTGTGGGTGAGATTAAAAGAGATTGAGGCCAAGATAATCCTACAGCAGCATCCCAGAGCATACCACTGCCAAAATGCTTTTGCCAGCCCACCTTCTTCTTCTGGTAACAGATAAAAAAATTTCAGAATCGCTACCCAAGAAAGTGAGATCCCATTTTTACTCCTACCCAGGTGCATGAGAGGAAGTCTTGCAGCTGCCTGCCTTTGCTTTCACAATCCTTTTCTAGACCCATTCAAAACTGCACATATGTTCTCCTCTCTGGATTATTTTAGCTGTATCAGTGCAATATTAATGCAACAGAATCAATTATATCAGCCTCTCTTGTTTTCTTTTTCCCTTTAAACAAAGCACATTATCATCTATCCTCTCCCTATCCACCTGCTTTGCATTAAGTCTCAATCCGATTTACCCAACTCACTGGTGTCTGATTTAATTTGCCTGATGCTGCTCATGGAGTTGTTCCCACCCCTTGCCCTACAGTGTCCCAGCTCCCCCAGGGAGATCTATCCAGGATGAGGATGAGACACTGTGAGCGAGAGGCATCAAGTGTGTAGACTGACGGCTAGTGGAGGAACAGCTGAAGGGAACTAGCTGTGTAACCTGGGTCTCCTGCCCAGAGGGATCGGCTTTCCCCCTCTTCCAAGAAGCCACCCCTTACATTACGGTAAGACTGCTGTGATGCTCTCTTTTCTCTATGTTCTTGAGAATTGGCACTCTTTGGCTTCTCTTTCTGACTTGGAGTGTAAATAAGGTTGCTGAGTATATGCCTTGGAATGTGTAAAAAAAAAAAAAAAGGCTACTGGATATCTGCCTGAAAAGAAAGACTTAACTTGAGAAGATTAACAATAGGCCATTTTGTTAGAATCATGGCCTTTCTCAGAGCCACCTTCACATGTTAATTTCAAAACTATAGAGACTGTGAATGGGGAAATATGCCTTTTTAAAGGTGATGCTTCAATGTTCAACCATGAACCAATTTCCTGAGCCATTAAGGCTGTAAGTTAAAGACTCTAGTAAAGTGATATTATAGATGTTTTTCCATCCATTTGTACTAGTATGCAGGAAATACACTTCCAGCATAAAGCAGGATCTCAGAGGCAGATAGATTAATGCTCTTCAGGGCAGAAATGACCACATCTCAGAACTTGGTTCCCATCACAAAATCTTTAGTACATGTGCCTTGAGTGTATCCATCAAATAGGAAATTATAGACACACCTGCACAGTATGTTTTGTGTTCTCATTCTTTTGGAGAGAAGGGGTTTTGAAAGAAGAGCTGCAGGACAGAAAATAGATAAGGGTAATTTTTTGCATCCTTTTTGGCAAGAGGTGGTTAATCTATCCAGTTTTATAGGAAGTCACCACGGTGATCAATTACTAGCTGCCCAAAAATTATATGGACTTCCAAGTCCTCTTTAATCTTCCATTTTTCCATGTTTTTCCTTTTCTGTTTTCAATTGTTTAGCATGGACCTCACAAAAAAGGTCTCCCTCAAGAGGAAGAAAATGGGTTGTTGAATGAATTAATAGTGGAGGAGTTTAGGTTATCTATTATGTATCCCCCTGATATTGCTCTTTTTTTTTTTACCCCAGAAGACAATCATTTCAATTAGTGAGTATCCTTTGCATCTGTCTAAAAGTCCTTCTACCATACATGAGGTTAAGAATCACACACCCCAAAATAATTTCTTAATGTTTCTACCCTTGTCTTTATCTGTTATCAGATCCAATAAAAGGAAACATAAAGGAGGATAATGTGATATCAAATAAATTCCCAGTTTAGGAATAAGGGAACATACAGGTAGAATAAGAAGGATCTGACCCTGTTTTTCTTACCACTCTTCAATGAAAACCTGAGGAGTATTTGTATTTAGAAAAAGTTATTCAAGTCCCTTGGAAGTCCACTGATAAACAGCAAAATACACTGCAGCAGCTGGTAGATGATTGCTTTTTCCGACAGAACAGGCAATAAAGACCAGTCAAGGGTCTTACTGCTTTGTTTTCGAGGTGTTTCCCCTAGATAAATGGGTAATTATTTTGTGGACACCTGTATTCCCATCACTGTTCAGCCAGGAAGTGCTCTAAGAGAATTTCAACCAGAAATCTTTCAGCCAAACAGATGCAAGGGACTTATATATGTTGCACCTAGCGGTGTAGAGGAAAGATTCAATGCTTTCAATTCTTTTGATTAAAGAGAGAGGCATATGAAACCCTGAAATATTTCCCTGACTAAAGTCCAACTATTATGTGTTGTCCAATGTAATAGCCCAAAAAGTGCAGGCAACTTTGTTGCTCTGGAAGAAAACATCCATCCCAAACGATCTAAGCCTATTAATGTTTTAATATGATGAGTAAGCTTTGACTTGCTTAAAATTACCATTCAGATTTAAGCAACAAAAAAGGGATGTATTAGAAGCTGCTACAATAAAGTAAATTTAGAAAGTGTTGTTATAAAACTGTTTCCAGGTATTGCAGATTGCGTTACTATTTTGTTTTATTCTCCCTCCCTTTCTCTTTTCAAGTTTTGCCTCTTTGAATGAGAATTATGTGATACATACCATAAAGCTTTAGCTATTTTAGGATTTATAATCAGTCCCAACATAGGCATTATAATACTGTTCTGTTCAGATTTTATCAAATGTGGATGTCCACTAAACTTGGATAAGTTTAAGGCATTGTATTTTACCGTTATTATAAATGGTCCTAGGTGTCAGTCTATTACAGATTACTATTACTATTACAGATACTTGATTGGACAGAGAATTACTGTCTCTCTGCCCTGAAACCTGCTTGATGAGCAATTTTCTTCTTGTATGTCCACCCAGCTATACTCAAAAGGCATCTCTACATTTAAAGGCCAGCATTCACTTTGTGTAGCTGTGGGTTAGAAAAGAGACAAAGCTGGTAGGGAAATGGAAAGTTATTCTTATCCCTCACTGTGGCTTCGTGTCCTAAGGTGGGAACAATTGGTCCCTTGGAGAGATTTAAAGGTTCTCCTAGAGACCTGAGTCTAAGCTCTTCTGTACTCTTCTGCTATATTTAGCTCTTCCTATCCTTTCTTAGAAGTGACCCTGCGTCCCAACCTAGGATTCTCCTGACAGTTCAACAACTCTTCCACCAGGTGAGCATAGCTGCTTCTGCAAAGAAATATTCAGGCTTAAAAACAGAAGAGGAAGGAGAAAAAGAGAGAAAGAGAATCTAAGAAACATCAAGTTAGGAAAACATAAAGCTACATTCATCTGAAAAGACGTAGCTATTGGCCAATTAAACTATTGCTCCAATACATTTTGGTTGCAAATAAGCTCTATTACTGTAGAGACCTTACTTCTGAGTAGGTTCATTTAGGATAGCAGCCTTAATATTGATTGCAATACATATCTCTCTAAAATAAATACAACAGTAAAACAATGCTGCTTAGTACCTGCATTATTATTCCAGTAATCCTCACTAAAATTGGAAGTCTGTGGCTAGGAAAGAGCAGCATATTAAAGTTCATCTTCTTCCACAATAATGGTAATATCTGCACCAAGGGCTTTCCAGTTCACAGCTTATACATTTGGATACAGTGCAATGTTGCACTGACAATGGAGAAACATGAAATCTCTTCCCATATTCCCCCAAAACCCACTTTTCTAAGCTGTTTATGTATTCATTTGTTTGTTTGTTATACTTGTATCCCTTGTTTCCTCCAGAATCTCAAGACAGCATTTGTAGTTATAGAGCTGGAATATTTTCATAGTATTTATGTAACATGTATGATGGAGGGAACATCTATATTGAGCACTCTCCTATATTCTGGTCTTGTAAATTGCTAAACATATCAAAGAAAAGGGAAGGACCAGCAGGTAGATTGTACTAGTTGGAGTACAGCAAAATCTCAAGCCAGATCTCAAGCCAGATAAGTTGGGTCATGATTCAGACCAAGTCTTAAAACAAAGCAGAGCAGGAACAGGAGGAAAGCAAAGCTACACTTGAAATATTGCATACAGTTCTGGTCAGCACAATTTTAAAAAGATACAAAAAAATAAGTGATGGATGAAAGCTTGTTTAAAGAGAGGCCCAACCTAGAAATAAGGATAAATTTTCTGATAGTGAGAACAATTACTCAATGGAATAGCTTGCCTCCCAGAGTTGTGGGTGCTCCATCACTGGAAGTTTTCAAAAATAGACTGGACCACCATTTGACCAGGATAATATAAGATCTCCTGCCTTCAGCAGGAGGTTAGACTAGAAAACCTCCAAGGTCCCTACCAGCCCTATGATTCTAAGTTCTCAAAGGTGGTATAGAAAAGAGGTAAGGACAAGACAAACTTTTGCCCAGTCAAAGAAATATCCAACCGTTCTGTTGCATTAGATGTACAGCAGAAGAGACCATCTCTACTTTTTTACAACTTTGCTTAGGATATATTTTCAACATACACAGCCACTTTTTTTAATTACTTCCTTTCACACTGCTTCTCCCACTATTAAAATGTACAAGAGGCGTTTTGTGCTCCCTAATATACTTCAACCAGTTTCCAAGAACAGAACATCTTGAATTATTTTTCTCCAGAACAGTATGAGAATTCAGATGAGCCCCTATGAGCAAAACCTTGCCAAATGTTGCAGATGAAAATGGATCTCCAAGCCTTTCTACTGCAAAAGGATTAACTCTGTCAGGCAGAAGAGCTAAGGCCCGAAGAAGGCAAGAAAATGGGAAATGGCAAGAAATGAAGACTTTCTATTGTTGACATTAATCTTTATGTTACTGAAGAAGGAATGTAAATGAAGTCAGTCATAACACATACTTTCTAAAGGCAACAAAGGATACATAAAGAAATAATATAAAAAGAGAATTTTCATAAAACACAAAGATTAACAGAAACCAAGATCTAAACTATTAAAAACTATCTGTAACATTAAATCTAAATCTTGGATATTTAAAATAAAACTTGGTTCTGTGGATTTTTTCCAGAAGAGTTTCCAGAAGAATCCCCTAACTGGCTGGTGTGCCACAACTAAGAAAGGCCTTTTCGGGGCAAGACACACCCACACCCACAAATTCTGCCTCAAGTAGAGAAATCTGACAAGGAAGGCCGTCTTCTGATTTATTCATGTGATTACGCCCTCCAAATATTCTCTCAACTAATGTCAATCCCTTTTGAAACAGGGCCATTGTACAGCACATATAATTCCTATTGTGATGGTTGAGATATAACTCCTTAACTGGACCTCCATACCTGCACCTCCATCACATAAACATATTCATTTCTCAGTTTGTCAATTTATTGCAAACACCCACATCTCCCAGCTGCTGACTGCTGGAAATCAGGTTCTGTTCTTTCTGCAGTAGAAGGAGGGAAGTTCTTTTTGCTGTGTTGCTCTATCCATTGCATCTCCGCTTGAGAAGTTGACTGCATTCCTTAATTTCCAGCAAGTTCCTCAAAACTGCAGAAAACAGCTAGCAAACCACTTTGAGAGAGATTGATGAGCATCATGTTAACCTTCCATTGGCAATGATCCACCAAAGGATCTTGCTGCACGACTCATTCTCACTGGGCTGATTGATTTTGCTAATGAGCTGCTCATTGCAGAAATCAAAGAGAAGGTGACATAATTGAGAGGTAGTGTGGCTTTTGCAAAACTTTGGTGACTGTATGAAATTCTGGGGGGAGTTTTGGATGACCGTGTAAGATTCCACAGTCATAATCATATCTGGAAAATTCAGTATGTCCATGGCATCTATGGGTTAAAAAAGTGTTTTAGTTCATTATGGGGTAAAGTATCTGTAACCTTTTGCCCATCTTTTCTTCCATTAGTTGTTTTACTATTCCTATTCTATTCTATTATTCTATTCTATTCTATTCTATTCTATTCTATTCTATTCTATTCTAAAGCCTAGCCTAGCCTAGCCTAGCCTAGCCTAGCCTAGCCTATCCATTATATTATATTATAAGTAGAAAGCCTGCACTTTGATGTAGTGGAAAGAGAATTTGGCAGTGATATTTCCAAGTATGCCTAACTCATCCTGAAGAACACAGAACAGAAGGCATCTGAAATATTGAGATGGAGAGTTCAAAGGGCAAACAATTAAGGGAGCTGGAAAGATGGTCCATCTGGAGGGAAGTAAGAATTGGCTTCTTCTCACAATACAGTTATTTCTCTGATGCATATTTACGTCTGCTAGGATTTTTCTGTCTCCACTTCTGCAATTTACCTTTATGTACAGTAGATTAGTAGATTGCGTACAAAATCCATTTAGATTTGTACTAAAATATAAGGTGCCAAAAGGGTGAGTGTCTTCACCTTTTTCAAAGCATAGACATTTCTAATTCATTTCTAATTCTAATTCATGTTTTCCAGGGCACAGTGTAAGTCATTTACTCGGGTCCTTATAGTATTTTATTGACAATGATTTCCAGGAAAAACAACATGAACAAAAAAGAGCTTAAGATAGGGAATACAACTGACTAGTTTCCTAGGAAAATATTAATCAGCCTTAAGAGTTGAAGTGGGCTGTGAAAAACATTGGAGAACTGGTGAAGCTAGCAGAACACATGAGACAGAAGTGCTAGCGAGGGGATGGTTTACATCTCCCAGTGCCCTGAAAACAAATGAAAATCAAGCACTAGATGATCGGTTTGTTTAGGAAAACAATAGCTGAAATAAAACAAGCTCTTTTTTAAAAGTTCCTGACAGACAGTTCAGAATAAACCTGAAATACACTATGAATTATTGTCTCTCCCACAGAAGAGAATCTGATATTTATATGCAGATCCAATATTTATGAATATCATCTTCTATCAAGGATTGTAAGTTTTTCTTTGATCTTCACTGGCTTGGTGACTCAGGAATGAAGTATACATGTCAGGATATCAGGGTATTATGGCAGCTGAACTAAAATTCTCATTATTATCTTCTATCATCCCATGCTGACTTATAATCATGGGACCTGTAGTCAACACATATGAGGGCATCAGCTTACAAAAAGCTATCTATGGGTTTTTGGTTTTTTTAAATATAAAGTTCTCTATAGCAGGGGTCCTCAACACCCATTCTGTGGACCAGCACCGGTCCATGGCATGACAGTAACTGGGTTGCACAAACAAACCAAGCCCCATCCGCGGGATGCAGGCAGCATGAGAAACCACGCCCCCTCTGGTCCATGGAAAAACCTCTCTCCATGGAACTGGTCCCTGGTGCCTGAAAGGTAGGAGGCCACTCCTCTACAGGCATCTAATCAGGTTGGAGGATCTGAACAAAAACAGGAATATTTTTTTTATACTGTAGATTTTTTTAAAAAAATCTTTCTTTCAAAATCTTATCTTGCCTTGTGGGACAAAACCTGTATCTATAATAGTGCATTCAGATTAAATCTCCTCCACAGAAAAATGGACCACTCTGATTCTGTAACTGCTCACACTCAGGGAAAAGCTCAGTGCCAACAAGAAATACAGTCTTTCAATGCAGGGTTGGAGTTCTCCAAATGATCAGATGTCTTTGTCCACGTCTTGTCTTCTCTAACTTACCTCCTTGCTGAAACATTTAGATAGCATGAGTCCAACCATCTTCCCTGTAATCATCAGGTTAAATGCAAATCACTCAGAGACCACCTTGAAATGAAATGAAATGAAATGAGACCCAGAGGGGAAATTCCAAGGAACCTGAAATTAAAAAGAATGGAAGACTGGAGAAAACAATGAATGATGACTTTCTGTCCACAATGTGATGCATTCAGATAATTTCCATACTGCATCCAGGCTTCTGAAATATAATCAAATTCTCTCGATCTACCTAAAAGTAAATCTCAGTCAGACTTTTTCCCTCTAACCATGTATTGGACAGAATTATAGCCTTAATCATTCTGCTTTTGCTATTTAGTAAGCTTCAACCTTGATCAATTATTAAAATGTTTTAAATATTTTAAAAAATGATTTAAACAGCATTTAAACAGCAGATTATTTTCACATTGAAAGTAACAAGGTACCAAAGATTACATTTGTTGTCTCATTATATGTGTGTGTGTGTGTGTGTGTAATATGTATATAATTTATTTTAAACTTTCATATGGCACTGTTTGGCTTAACAAAGTTTTGGATGCTGCTAACAACTCTAATTTCATAGCATAGCTGAAATTAAACAACTTGGTCTTCTTTGGTCAACCCGTGGGCAAAATAGTGGATGAGGACAAAAGTAAACTGAAATCTTCAAATTCAACTTCAAGATTGTCTATACTGTAGACAATGAGTTAGTTATTCAAGTAAAAGTAGAGTTGCCAACTACTCAGAAGCTCAGTCTTCAAAAACTGGCAGTTGGACTTCTTTCCCAGCATGGAGACCTGCCCCCCAGATGACATTCCCATTGATGTCACAGCAGCAGGAATCAATTACAAAATACTAGCACATCAACAGCAGGTTGTAGCTGGAAGCAGCAGGATAGACAATTGAGGGAAAACTTAAGGAATGATGTGGCTGAAGGCTAACATGCAAACATGAAGAAATATTAACTGGACTGACTAAAATATTGCAGATTTTTTTAGACTTTGCAACTATAAATATCAGTTTGTTGAGTTGGTTTCATGTTTAAGTGAAAAAAACACACCCCAGAGCAGATACATAGAATATTTTATGGCTTTCCATATGAAGTCCCTTTTTTTGTCCCTAGAAATACATGACTCACTTACAATCCTATTATGTGTGCAAGGACCCATCCTGCTTTCTTACATACCCAAGTATGCATAATAAGAAGTGGTGGCAAAATAACATTTATTGGAGTCAAATTTGACTAAGTTAACTTCTTCTACTGATTTGCTGACTTGCTTTTACCCAGAACTATAGGAAGGCTTGGTGTGACCTTCTATTTTTTTATGCCTTCTATTATATCAGGGAGTTCTGTTGATTCCCAAGACCTAAATTATTGGAGAACTTGTAAACATTTTTTAAAAAAAGAAGCCCTGGTGGGGCAGTGGTTAAAATGAGTATTGCAGGCTAATTCACTGCTCACATCCTGGAGTTTGATCCTGACAGGCTCAAGGTTGACTCAGCCTTCCATCTTTCTAAAGTCAGTAAAATGAGAACTCGGAGGCAATATGCTGACTCTGTAAATTACTTAGAGTGTGCTGTAAAGCACTATGGAGTAGTATATAAGTCTAATTGTGATTGCTATTGCTATTTTAAAAAACCTCAAGATTTCAGTCTTAGGGTTTTTCCTCTTTCCCCTTTGATCTCCACAGGACCCAGGGGACTCCAAGTGAAAGCTGAAAATTAGTCTGTCACGATGGGTGAAATAGAGCAGATGAAGCAGGAAGCTGAGCAGCTGAAGAAGCAGATTGAGGTAATGCTGAGAACAAGAGGGAAATGGCTGAGATGGGACCGTTTTCCACCACTTTAAGTGAGGATAAAGGCTGAAGTATGAAACCCCCATTCATATTTCATCTATAAAATCATGAGCAACCTCCTCAGCCTCAGCTCCCTATCTGCAACACTGAAGATGGTATCTCACACAATTGTTTTAAAGATTATAACTCAGATAATGCTCAGTTGTCAGTGGTGCATGAGATTAAACCTGTAAGCACCATATTCCTGAAGATGCCCTTGGGGCCTCCCAGCCTCCCTGCTGTGGCTCATCAGGTTGCTCTTATTTTTATTTATTTTTAGCCAGTTTGCTCTAGTAGTGAAGGTGCTGACCTAGAAAACAGGAGACTGACAGTGGGGCTAGAACTGGAGTTCTGGCCCCACTTTAGACATGAAAGCCTGCTGCATGATTCTCTCTCAGCCCAATCCACCTCACAGGATTATTGTGGGGGAAACAGAAAAAGGAAGGAGTATTAGGTATGTTCACTGCCTTGGGTTATTTATAAAGTAATAAAAGCAGGATAAAAATCTAATAACTAAATAAATAGAATATAAAACTTTCACATTGCAAAACAAAATGCTATCGTGTTTCCACTATATCGTAGACTGTCTCTGGGCCGAAATGGGCTCCTTAGAAAACAAAAGTGGGGCTTGTTGCAAACTAGTGATTTATTGTGCCAATTTACCCTTCCACCCAGGCATACACACACAGAGAGAGAGAGAGAAATGAAACTAAAGAAAGAAAGACTGGGTGGATCTGAGAAAATAAAGAGCATACACACTGCCTCACTTTACGACCTTTTCTGCCACAGTTGTGAATCACTGAAGTTATTAAGTTAAGCGAATCTGGCTCCCCTTTGCTTGACTTTGCTTGTCAGAAGGTCACAGAACATGATCACACGATGCAGAGACACTGCCATAACTGTCATAAATATGAGTCAGTTGCCAAGCATCTGAATTTTGATCACATGAATATGGGGAGGCTGCAACAGTTGTGTGAAAAATCCAGAAGTTAATTCAAGACTTTGATCCAATTACATTTTCTTTGCCTAATCTTCATCACAGGGCTGTTGTGAAAATAACTCATTTTACCTACTTAGGAAGAAAAGTGGTGAATAAATACTGGTACACAGTTTGGCAACAAGTGGATTGTTATCTATTGTTTTTCAAAGAAAATTGAAATGTTGGTTATTGAAGGGCAATTTCATGATACAGGGGCCACAATTTGGGAAGTGTTCTTTGCTATATTTTTCATTCCAAAGAAAATTCAGTCAATGCTCCCCCCTCCCACCTATTTGGGATTGATTGTGATCTTTGATTTCTTTTTTGGGAGCAGACTTGATTTTTTTGACTTTTTTGCAGCTTATTTGAAATCACAACAAAATGATACTTTTTTTACAAATTACTACAGACAGGCCATATTCTCACTCTCAGGAATATTGTTTCATCCCACTCTTTAGCTCTCTGGCATAAGTCATTATTCTCTCCTTGTACCCAGGACACCGTTCGTGCTGCTGGCCTATTCCTACAATATGTAGTTTAGAACTTATCCTCTTCTAGCCAAGGTAGCCATATGCAACTATTGTCATGATTACTGGGACATGTGCACAGCAATACAATTGCCATATGCTCTCATTTAACTTTAACAATTCACATGGACTTTTAAAAGGCAAAGGAATGATGGCCAAACAGCTAGGAAGCTGTGGGAGCATTTCAGTGCTTCTCAAGTCTTATTTGCAAACCACCAAATAAATGCACGTCAGTATATGTATACAATACTGAAAAACATGGGGGTGGGGAGAAAACAATTGTATTTTGTTTTGGTAGGGATTTGGGTTGAGGGAATTTGTTACTCCAAGTCACCAGTTGCATGACGTTCTTTCCACTCTTCTATTGGTCAGCTGGAAGGGAAAAATAACCCTGAGTTCTGACTAAGTGAAGGGTGTTCTTTTCCCTTAAAGGCTGAGATAAATGAAAATGGTCACAGATTAGTTTGAAACAGCTTCATAAAGGATAGAGTAGGGGTGTCAAACTCGATTTTATTGAGGGCAGCATCATGGTTGTGTTTGACCTTGGAGGGCTGCGGGGGCATGGCCAGGGGGCATTGCCAGAGGGGGCATGACAGCACTCTGCCTCCTGCAACACCCTGCCAGCCAAAACAGGGTGCCGGGGTTAATTACAAAATGTGGGATTTGCTTTGTGACATCCAGATCCAGCAAGCAAGGGATGTGACTGCACAGAAAATACACTTTGGTTTGGTTATGAAGAAATATCCCCAAAATATCCCCAAAGATGTAGACTAAATGTAGACTGACTTTTACAGTTAGGGTTAGTGTTAGTGCAAAATCCTCACTCCCATTCTACCCCAGAGGAATCATAATGCAAAATCCTCACCCCACAATTAGAGCAACCACAATTCCCTCACTAACCTGCTTTCCACGTTCTCTTGTGTGCAGGCCAACAAAAGAAGACCATGAGACTACCAGTTAAAGAAAAGTGCAATCAGACCTTCCAACTTCTCGGAGGAAAAAAGATCTCGCAAAGTTAGAAGGTCTGATTGAACTTTTTCTTTACTGGTAGTCCCACGGTCTTCTTTTGCATGACGGAGAATGGAGCTGGAAAGCAGGTTAGTGAGGGAATTGTGGTTGCTGCAAGATTTTGCAGGAGGCTGTCCAGGCCAAAAACAGGGCATGGGGGGGGGCTGCACATGTTCCCCCGTGCCCCATTTTTGCTAGCAGAGGCACCACAGGCCAGTCCTTTGGTATTTCCAGGCCAGCCCCGTGGGCCAGATCTAAGTACCTTGAGTTTCACACCCCTGGGATAGAGGTTAGAAATGCTGGGGGTATCAAAATGTCATCTCTTGCCTTTTCTCTTTCAGGAAGCTCGAAAAGCTTGTGCTGATACTACACTTGCTCAGGTAGGAAATGCTAACAGTACATTACTCTGTTTAAAACAAGTTTTCCTGAATGGGTAAGTCTAACACAAATTCAAGAGAACTGCAGGTTCAGCAACTGACTTGATACAGCCCATTAGTGAAAACCTTTTGGAATAGGAGCTAAATTTCTTCTTCCCTGTATAGCTTGTTGCTGACATGGAAGTGGTTGGGCGCATACAGCTGCGGACACGGAGAACTTTGCGTGGACATCTGGCCAAGATCTATGCTTGTCACTGGTCCACAGATTCCAAGTAAGTAATGGTATATAGCAGTGTTTCTTAGCCTTGACAAATTTAAGATGTATGAAGTTGAAGTCCACACATCTTAAAATTGCCAAGGCTGAGAAACACTAGTATATGAGAAAAAGACAGGTGGTATTTTTCCTTTCTATCTTATTCCATTGAGTCCCTTCCGAGTGACCCAGCCCAGTTACTCAAACAAATTAGCTGACCAAAGGCTCTTATTATCTGTGCTATTCAGAGAAGGAGAGGATTGCTGTTGTCTGCTTTTTTCAATTTTCAATTTGAACACTTTGGATTTTGGGGACAACTCATGCCTTTCATAAAGTCTTTAATTCTACTTATCTCCAACCAAAATAGTAAATAAATTAATTAACTGCATTTTTACCTTAATTTTCCTGCAAGGAACTCAAGATAGCATATCTCATTTTTCTTTTGTCTACCTTTTCACATTCTATGGAAACCATGAAGATTCCCCATGCAATTTTCTGGCTGCCCTGCTCAGAAAAATAATAGGCAACAATGAGCAGGAATATAGATGTCCATCTGCAGGAACGAAAGTTCTCCCCTTTTCATCAAGATCACTGTTCAGTAATAGAAAAACAGTAATCTTGACCATCTCAATGTAAGGACTAGTTAAATCTTCTTTCTTCCAGTCATCTTTAATTAGTCTTGTTTGAGGAATATGGGAGGGAGAACAAAAAATATAAGATAACAAAATTGTGTGAATTGGCATATCCTAACTTCTCCCACCATTGTCACTCACTACCCAGTCCATTTGCCTGTGGAATCACCGAAGAGTTCATTCCAAAGAGATCAGCCCTCCCCTTGCAAAGTTGGTTACCCCTGCTGCCCTTTTCCATCATTTGAATCATCCAACAACCTGAAATATTTATTAGAATGAGAGATAATGATGAGCCTAAGATCATCAAGTAAGTTTCTAATAGAAGAGAATATATATAACTCAGGGTTGAACTGTGGAGTACTTGGTGCTCTCAGAGCTTGGTTGTTTGCTAGTAGGCATTTCATTACCAAACTACCATGTTTTCCCAAAAATAGGACCTACCCCAAAAATAAGCCCTAGCCCAATTTACACACCTGTGCCTAATATAAGCCCTACCCCCAAAATTAAGCCTTAATGAAGAGGGGTGGGCATGGCCAGCATAGGAGGCAGTGAGCACTTGTGGGCTGATGGTATCTGGCAGCAGCTACAGCCTACGCAGCACAGGTGAGTTGAATACCTGTGCAAGCAGCAGGCCAAAGCCGAGGTGCAGGGGGAGGCAAGTGATCTGGACATGCCACAAGGGCTGTGGAAAAGCCAAGTGGCGGTGAGTCGAAGCAGCAGCTGGCCACAAGAGGCTCATCTTTGTGTGGTGACACTGGCAGCAGACAGAAGCAGAAGCAAGGGGAAGGCAAGCAATCCAGATGCACTGCACAGGCCATGGGAAAGCTGTGTGGTGGCGGCTGGCTGCGGGAAGCTCGTCTTCACATCTCTTGGCTTGTCTGCAGACTGAGCAGTATGCTAAGATCCCCTGCCTTCTGCATGCATTGGGATTGCCTGCCTTCTGCTCTGTGCCTTCCACTTTGTGCATCCCCAGAGTTCATTGACCAAGGGACTGGTGGGCCGCAGTTCCCGCCGGATATTATTGGTCTCCAAGCACTTTCTGGATCTTGTGTGCGCACCAGGGGGTAAGGCACCAAGCCGGGCTGATCACCCTGAAATCATGTTTCCCTGATAATAAGCCCTAGTGCTTATTTTGGGGCCCAAAAGAAAATAAGACTGCGTCTTATTTTTGGGAAAACACAGTAATGATGTTACTTAGTTGGGTAATGAAATATCTGCAAACAAACAACTAGTTTAGAAAGTACCAATGACTCTATAATAAGTTCCTTTCTATCTGTGAATAAAATATACATGGTACATTTCATGAAGTATATACTGTAAATGTAAATTGGTTATCATACAATAGAAATAGCAGCAAAATGAATAATTTTGTATTCTGAACCATACATGTAATCCCTCCCCCCCCCACACACACACTTCTACCCTCCCATCCCTTGGCTATGAATACTTTGCTATAAGATGGAGAACAAAATCACCTTGAAGGTGCATTATGTAAGGTTGGGTGGTGGAGAGGTGGACTTGATGCACTTTAACCTTCAGATCCCAATTGATCCCAATGATAACACCTTTCTTCACTTATAGACTTCTGGTCAGTGCTTCACAAGATGGAAAACTAATTGTATGGGATACTTATACAACCAACAAGGTAGGAGATACTTAAGCAAATAGATGATATGTCCACAATCTGTTAGCAAGCAATGCTAGAAATGAAAAGTGACTGCTAGCATTTTGCCTCTGAGATTACTTTCTAGACCAGGGGTTTCAAACTCAAGGCCTGTGGGCCATCCTGGAAATGGTAAGGGACCGGCCTGTATTGCTTCAGCCCATCCCATCCCATTCCGGTGGGGGTGCTTGAGCGCAGGAGGCAGCGGGTGCATGTATGCGCAGGCCCGGCGCACATCATCTCGGCAGGTGTGAGTGCGCACAGGAGGCAGACCCGCTGCCTGCCAGAATGGGGTGGGCCGGGCCAAGCGAAACGATATGGGCCGGCCCCTTACTGTTTCCAGGATAGTCGTGCTTACCGGCCTTTCAGGTATGTGTGCACAGGGGGGAGGTGTCTGGCAGCAGGGGCTCCACAGCTGGCCCTCCAAAAAGCAGGCATAGCACCGGCAACAGGCAGAGTTGCGGGGGAGGCAGACCACAGAACACACCTACTCCATCCCTGGGACAGAGCAGGTGGCTGCCCAGCACATCCAGCAGGCTGGACATACACCTCTGCCTCTGGCTACTGCTGCCATTGGCCCACCTATTCTGTCCCATCTGTTATGGCTTGCAGTTGGAGAGCAGGTCACTGCTGGTCATCTCCTCGGCCCCCTCGCAGGTCTTGCCCTTGGCCCACGCATGGAGCACATTCCCCTCATGCACCCAATGTACCTTGGCACCGCTGTGGGCTGCTGCCACCACCGAGGCTGCCAGCAGCTCATGCAAGTCCATTAGGCTGCTGTCATCACCGCCTGGAGCACCAGGTCGAACAGCCCAAAGGAGGTGAAGCAGCCAGCTAGAAAAGCCGAGTAGAGGTGGTAGAGCACGTCCAGGCCCAGCAGACAAAAGAAGGCCACTATGAGCGGGTTAATCCGGAACTCCATTGGTGCCATGGCCACCCAGGCTCAGACGGGATTTCATGCCTCCCCCCCATCTCTGCTGGACCTGGGCGGCCATGGTGCCAATGGGGATTTGGTTTTCCCCACTCGCAGTGGCCATCTTTTGCCTGCTGGGCCTGGGCGTACCCTATACCTCTACTTGGCCTTTCTAGCTGGCTGCTTCGCCTCCTTCGGGTTGGGCAGCTCTGCTGAGCAGCAGTGGCAGCAGCCTACAGCAGGGCCATGGTGCATCAGGTGCGTGAGGGGAAGGGCAAGGGCAAGAGCAAGACCTGTGAGGGGGCTGAGAAGATGACCAGTGGCGACCTGCTCTCTAACTGCAAGCCAAAACAGACAGTGGGACGGAGTAACCGCGTCCAGTGGTCTGCATGGACAGCCAGCCCGGTGATGACAGTGGGCTCCAGAGCCACAGCATGCATGACCTAAGGGGTCGGCAGGCTGCGGCTACAGCAGGAAACCATCCATCCTGCACACATAGGGCGGCAAGCGTGCAATGGCCAACAGTTTCCGGATGTAGCTGCCCTGCCCGTTGCCTCACCTCACCTTATCCCACGGGATGAGCCTCCCGCCCACTTCCCCTCCAACCAGAGACCCCTGGATTCCCTCCCCAACCCCACCCGGTTCCCATAGGCACCACCCACGTGAGTGATTTCAAACTGGCCACGCCCCCAGGCCATGCCCAGTCGGCTGCCCCGACCATGCCCCTCCTCCCCCCTTGGCCCCTAGAGGACAACTATAATGCTGATCCAGCTCTCAATGAAATCGAGTTTGACACCCCTGTTCTAGACTATTCCTACTATAGCTGTTGCTTTTCTCACCTCTGATGAAGAAGCTAATAGTGGATTTCTGTCCTACTCTTTAATTGCAGGTTCATGCCATCCCTCTCAAGTCTTCTTGGGTCATGACTTGTGCCTACGCTCCATCAGGGAATTTTGTGGCCTGTGGAGGTCTTGACAATATCTGCTCCATCTATAACCTCAAGAGTCGTGAAGGAAGTGTGAAAGTGAACAGGGAGCTTGCAGCTCATTCAGGTGATCTTTTGCTCTAAGTCTTGGCAAAGCTGTAGCTACAATCCATTGGAAAAAAGCAAAGCAAAATATAATTTTGCAACAGGAATGGATGAGAAACTCTACAACTTCCATTTAAAACAAGCATCTTTTGTAGCCCTCCAGATGAGGAATAATTTTTTTTTTAGAATTTACACATTGTTGCTCCAACAATCAAAAGTTGGTTGCAAGCTTATGGATAGTGACTTACATCTGAATTAACATCTCAGAAAGCAGAGACTGCTAGGTAAGGTGTCTGATGGTTCCATATGACTAGCAGAAGCAGGCTAAAAAAAATTATTTAAATACAAATAGTATAATTTCATAGAATGAAAAATTCTAATTTTTTGAGCCACATAATTACTGTGTGCTGCAAAATTCAGCTTCTGTTGACAAAAAACTAAATATCTCTAGAAAAGATAATAAAATGTGTCCTGTATAAGTCTTAGCCTTTTTGTTCCCTTCAACAATATTCCTCTTCTCTTACTCCTGCTCTGCAGGCTACCTCTCCTGCTGCCGATTCCTGGATGACAATAATATTGTAACTAGCTCTGGGGACACCACTTGGTGAGTATTTCTGTCTACGGTGTATGAACTGGCCAGCAAGCAACCATATGAGTATCCTTATTTATTTAACAATAGCAATGTCATTTAGTGGCAGCCCTGGAGCCTTTTCCCCTGGCTTCCCCTGAGTTTCTACAACTACTTAGACTTATATACTGTCCCACAGTGCACTTTTTGTACAGTTTATAATGTCAGCGTATTGCCCTCAACTATCTGTATCCTCATTTTACTGACCTTGGAATGGAAGGTTGAATCAAAGGCTCACCTCGGAATGGAAGGTTGAGCCCCGTCAGGATTGAACTCCAGGCAGTTGGCAAAGTTTGCTTATAATACTACACTCTAACCACTGTGCCACCAGGGCTCCTACCTATATTTTATTTTTATTGCCTAACTCAGCTAACTGCTACTGTGCCTTAAATCTAGGTTTAATACTCTAACCCAAGGGTGTCAAACTTGCTGTGTCATGTTGCCATCATGTGACGTTTTGCAATGTTTTTCCCATTCGCAGAGCTGGGGTGGGTATGGTCTGTGCGTGATGCATCCAGCCTGTGGGCCACCTGACACCCCTGCCTCACCTATTCCACCCTTCTCCCAAATTGGAGGTCTTCAGATGTGCTCTACTCCCATAATTCTCAACCAGGATGAGGCAGCCAGTGTGGATTAGAGAAATCTAAGGGAGGACCAAATATCAATGTTTGTTCCAAAATGTTAAGACTCTGCTGGTGGCACTTCCTTGCCTCACCCATATTCTTCCTTTAAAGGGTATTCTAGCTGCTGATTTCTTTTTCTTTTTAAGTGTTGTTTGCATACTCATTGCATGATGTCATCTCTATTTGATCCTAAGGGATCAAGGGCATAGCTGTTTTCGTTCAACTCTGACCACAAACTCTGCCACTGCTACTTCCTTTTTATATCATCCCTTTCTAGGGGATCCGCCAAGAATAGACCCCCAATTTAAGCCCCATTTGTGAAAAAAGTCTGCTGAATTTTGCTGCATAAAGAGGAAAACCTGGTGAAGAATGTTTAACTCTGCTAGCTTCCATTCTGCCAACACCCATTTGGCACTGTCTGTCGGGTCCAAGAGGTCAGCTCTGGTTGGTCTTCCAATGGGGAAGAAGTGATTGAGAGATCTTTGGCTGAATCTAACTTTAGATCAAAATGACCAAATTGCATAACGAGAGGACCTTTTTGCAATTAGGAGGCTGTTTACATATTTAAATGTGGGAAAAATAGAAGGGGGAAGATATGCTGGATATGTTTGCCATCTTGAGTTATTTGTAAAAATAATAAAAGCAGGATACAAATGAATGAATGAATGAATATCCTGCTTTATATATTATTCCCCCTGAGTTTATAGCAATTTTATTGTTAGATTATTTTTGAATACAGCTGCCTAGATCTGTAAGTATTCCAAGCCTGTACCAAATAGGAAGGGGATCAAAATAGCTACTCAGTACAGCCTAAGCAACTTCTTCCTCCTCTTACAGCATTCTGTGGGATATTGAGACAGGGCAGGAGAAGAGCACATTCATAGGACACACTGGGGACTGCATGAGCCTGGCAGTCTCTCCGGACTTCAAGCTTTTTATTTCAGGAGCCTGTGATGCCAGTGCCAAGCTGTGGGACATCCGAGAAGCAGCTTGTCGCCAGACATTTATAGGACATGACTCAGATATCAATGCCATTTCAGTAAGTTTCTGAAGCCCTTCCTGGAACTGAGGGTGGAAGTGAGCTGGAACCTGAAAAAATGTCAAAGATTAGGGCAGAATAACCTGCAGAAGACAACAGAAGCAAATGATCTCTCTCTTTCTTTCTCTCTCTCTCCCTCTCTCCCCCTCCCCCTCTCTCCCTAGTTCTTCCCCAGTGGGGAAGCCATTTGCACTGGTTCAGATGATGCCTCCTGTCGCCTCTTTGACCTTCGGGCAGATCAAGAGCTCATCAGCTTTGCTCATGAGACCATTATGTGTGGAATTACCTCAGTCGCTTTCTCCCGTAGCGGGCGCCTCCTCCTGGCCGGATATGATGATTTTAATTGCAATATCTGGGATAGTCTGAAAGCAGAGCGTGTGGGTGAGTCAAGGCTACAGTTCTGATGGTTTTCCTCTCACTTTTTTTACATTCACAGAAAAATGTGCATGGAGTAATGTATATCCATTTGGGAACAGACTTTTTTTTTAAAAAAAAAAATCATGACCTAATATAATCTAAAATTAGAAGAATGGGAGACTGAGCAAAATCAAATGTCAGTTTCCTTTATTCCAACATGAAAGTGTTCCTTTTTCCTGATCACTCTTTAATCTTCAAGCTGTGAATAGCACAGCTCAGTTCTACCCAATCTGTTGGTTGCTGGAGGGTGCTGGCATATAGGTTGCATTTTGTTCCTCTCTCACTTATCAAGAATGAAAGATGAGTTATACTCCACTGCAGATGGATTCTCTTCATACATTCCTTGTCTGAATGGAACCTTTCCTCTAGATAACTGTGCCATCAGAGGGGAGGTGAATGACAAGTGAGGGCTACCTGTGCTTCCCAAAATTTGGAACTCTGCTCAGAGATTTGCTGAGTTTAGGCAAAATAATTTTCCTCCAAATTCAGTGCCTCTCCAAAAACTGTGGGTCTTGTCTTTAATATTGTGGTTCTTAGGGTGTTTTAATACTGTGTTTTAAACATTAAATTATCCACCTTAATCATCATAGTAGATCATGAACCATTATTATTTAAACCCACAGGCCTTCTGTCTGGACACGATAATAGGGTGAGCTGTTTGGGAGTAACTGCAGATGGCATGGCTGCAGCAACTGGCTCTTGGGACAGTTTCCTGAAAGTCTGGAACTGAAGATGCTGTTTGAAAAGAAGAGTGAATTTGGAGAGGCTTTTTCAGATGTACCTTTGAGTACCACAGTTGACATTTTTATTCTATGCAGATATTGGTTCATACTACACTTACCTCCCTAAGGGGAAGCTCAGGAAAAGAACCCACACAGGTCAATTCTTCTGATACTCTTTGAAACCTTCCCCAAACTCAGGGGTCCATTTCTGTGACTGCCTCCAGGTGTGACATCAGCAAGGTAGCAGTTCCTACTCACTCTGCCCAAATTAGAGACCCTCAAGAAATTTCTAAACGAATCCCTTATTTCCCATCCCTCAACTTCTGATTTTCCATGTTATGACTACCACAGACTTCAGACACATCCAGTTATAGTTTGTCCTTGGACGTGTCTTCAAGTGGTTTATCACAGCAAGTATTCTGCAATGAACTTTATTCACTTTTCTCTTTGAGAAATATATTAGCTCATTGTTTTACTCTACACATTGCCTGGGAAGGAGTTGGTTGCTCCTGTTTTGAGCACTGGAGCCAGGAATGCTTAATGTAATCTTATTGATTATCTGTGTATAGGTATTTTTCCCATTCCACTTAATTCCGTATCTTGCACTTAGCATTTCGGCATCCTTTAAGCTCCTCCAAGTCACTGCTTCATGATGTAATTATTATAAAGTTGTTTTATAGCCCAGGCAAAATAAAACTGAAACATTGGATAGACTGGCTCAAGTTGCATTATTTGAGGCCATGTTCTGGAGCTCAGGCTCAGACAGAATTGTTCAGAAGATTCAAAACAATTATACCATTAAGCTTTGTATTGTATTGCATTATTAACACGGTATTGTAATTAGGGATAAAATACAGAACCTTAGAAACTGCAATAGGAACCTCCTCCTGTCATTGATAAGTAAATCCATTGAGATCAATTTCTTTGAACATTTTGACTTTTCTTCCTCAGCTTTTTGCAGCCTGGACCAAACTGAGATTCTAGCATCTGTTGGATCTTATCTCCATCTGTTGGCTCTTATGTCTTTCTTCCTGTTACTTCTCACAATTCTGCCTTCTCACAATCTCTCTCATATATTACCATGGCATGGCATTAGAGAATCAGATCATTTTAAGAGCAAATGAAGATATATCTTAAGGTACTTGCTTTTCTCTGGGCAGTAAGAAGTTCTAGAGACACCAGTTTAGTTTCCTTTGAAACAGAACTATTCATCTTTAATGGTTATAGCCTGAAACCAATAGAATGGATTCACAGAACATTCTATGACATGATCATCAACATTTCCAAGCAATCTTTCACATTAGCATTTGAAACAAAACTATTTCTTAATTTTTAATAATATGGCCAAATTTTATGAGATCTGATACTCACACCTGATAAAATGAAAAACATTTAAATCTCATGATCGATTAATCTGTAAGTTTGGCCATTCTTTTTTTTTAAAAAAAATATTTAATTTATGGGTTTCATTTATAGATTCCCACAAAGGAGTATCAAACTAGCGGCCCACGGGCCAAATGTGCAGGCCACGCCCACCCCAGTTCCGCAAAGGGAAAAAAAGTCATGATACGTCACATGACAGCAACGTGACACAGCGAGTTTGACACCCTTGCTCTAGCATCACACTTCTAGTCTGGGTGTTATGTTATATTATTACTGTTTTAGTCTATGTTAACCCAGTAGTTGTGTTCTGTAAATCACAGTGTAATTTAAAATTATGGCCTAATATATGTGAATATCTCACAGATCTTACCCTATTTCTCTTCATCACAGAACCATCAATCCCCACCAAAGTAGCAATTAAGTTTTCACATGATTTAGTAGCCTTAATGACTTCAGTAAGTCATTCAACACCATCTAAATTGAGAAATTGAAACAAAAATTAACATCCATATATTTTACCAGGAAAATTGCATTTATGTATGCCTATAAAGATACTAAATTAAGCTTGATTTTGGGTAAATTTTTTATTTGTGTTTTACATCAAAACTGTTTATACATGTGAAATCTTAGCTTTCACTTACCCTAAGATATGCTTCTCTAATTCTCTATTCCTGCTTGCATGTTATCTCAACCAAAAACAATATTGCAAGACAGCTCAATTACATCACTGCTTTTGCAATGGGCTAAGAAAGTGAGTGATTTGCCTAAAATCACCATTTTTTTGTGTCTTTAGGTAAGAATTGAAGAACTGTTTCCTGGTTCTCTTAAGCATGAATCGAAAGCTTATCCCTTAGTCTAAATGAAAATACAGCATTTGTTCAGAGAACTTGAGATGATCGGGCAGTGTCTTTGGTATTCAGAAGTTACTGACGTCTCAGCTTTTTATACATTGCAGGATGCAAGATCATGTCATTGTCTCAGAAAAGCAATAAATACACAAACCTGCCCCCAAAGATCTAGGCTTTCGTTTGGAAAGGTTAAAGGAAGCATTAAAAATACATTCACTTCTTTAAGATACTTGAAAGATATATATCCTGTCTTTGCTTCATTATACAGGTAGTCCTCAACTTATGATCACAATTGAGACTGGAATTTCAGTCATTAAGCAATGTAATTGCTAAGTAAATCATCATGTGACCAGACTGATATTACAATCATTTTTACCATGGTTGTTAACTGAATCAATGCATCATTAAGTAAACATGGCTTCCCCAACTGACTCTGCATGTCAGAAGCTGACATTGGGAAGGCAAACTCTGATCACTGACTGCAAGATGCTACAACCATCACAAATGAGAGCTAAGTGCCCAAATTGCAATCATGTGACTCAGGGGTGGTGCAATGGTTGTAACTTTGAGAACTGGATGTAAGTCACTTTTTCTGAGGGTATTGTAACTTTGAACTGTCATTAAAAGAGCCTGTAGTACAGTGGACTGAAGCACTGTTATTAACATCTGCTGCTTGCAATTACTGCAAGTTCGAATCTCACCAGGCTCAAGGTTGACTCAGCCTTCCATCCTTTCAAGGTAGGTGAAATGAGGACCCAGATTGTGGGGGCAATAAGCTGACTTTGTATAAATATACAAAAGTATGAAGGCTGTTGCTTAACGCATTGTAAGCCGCCCTGAGTCTCCGGAGAAGGGCGGCATATAAATTACAGCAAAAAAAGAAAGATAGTAAGCCGAGGACTGCTTGTGTTGCATTTAAATGTTACAACTTAAACACAAGCTCTGCCCCCTCTCTCATGATTGCCCTGTATATTGATATCACAGGAGCCAGAGAATATTCCATATTGCTCTGGCTCCCGTAACTCCAAGTAACAAAAGGGTACTATTTATTCTACTACCCAGAAACTGAAGGCAAATAGGATACTTGTCCACTAATTCCTCACTTTGGTCTGTGAGGCATGTCAGCTAGCAGTTTCCACATTTTCTCACATCCCCACATTCTGTTCTTCTACCAGGGTTCTCCAAGTTTGGCAATTTTAAGACTTGTGGACTTCAACTCCCAGAATTCCTCAGCCAGCCATGTTGAAGTCTATGGATTCCACATCCAACATTAGCTTCTGCGAAGAACAGTTTTAGCCCCACTCTAACAGATGTACTCCAGGGGTATTTTTTTCCAACTATGGCAAAAGTTTTAAAATAATGCAGCCGGGAACCAGAATCTCATTCTAAAGTGAAGTTTATTTTCCAAACACAGACATTTCAGACAACATGTTTTAAAAATAGTAGTTACACAGAAGAATCTATACATTATGGAATCTAAATATGAAAACCAAAGACGAGAAAAGAAGTAAGAGGGAAATGGGCAAGAAGCAAAAAATAAAAATCATGCTACTTCGTCTTCATACTTGAGCCATCAAACCTTCATATTAAAGAACGGCAATCCACAGAGCATCTGAAGCTAATTTTCCACCCAACGACACCGTCGATTCTCCTTATTCATGGGATCCCAACCACAGCTCTCTGCTGGAAAGTTTGGCCCAGAGCTTAAGTTTCCATCCTTTGGTTCTTTTTGATTATCTGTCACTGATGAAGTCCTTTTACTCTGGAAAAAAAAATCTTGTTGGGTTGAAGAAATGCTAATATATTTGACTGTTCTATTTGATGGAATCCAGGTTTTGTATTCATACAGTATGATTAACTTGATTTACTCAAATCTCTGCACAATGCAGAGAGGAAAGTCATGAGTTGGCTTCACTGAATACATGAAACTTGATTTTGGGCTGCCACCCATTGGAAGAGGCAATTGTTCCAACTTTTAAATTACCGCCATGCAACATAAATGTTTCTCAGGGTACAAATAAATAATACATGTATAAAAACATGTACATATACATCTTTTATCAACAACCTGACATGTTTGTCGACATGAGAGATTTTATTGTACACTAAAGATGTGGTTTAATTTTGTTTAAAACATATGAAGATTGATTGGAAAAAGTAAAGAACTCTCTGACAAAGTCAATTACATAGTTCAAGAAACTTATGAGCAGAAGAGTATTTTCATTGATTGCCATTTATTGTAAAGGGAAGATTAGGTAAGTTGGAAAGGCTAGAAAATTTCCTACAAAGCTAGGAAATAAATTAATTCTAAATGAAAAAAAAAACAAACCTAATTTATTCTGAGCAAGTCTACTCTTTTGCCCGCTGTTGCTTTAATATTCTATAAATCTCAATGTAGCTCTTGATTTGAAAAGTTTGTTCATACCTGAAGAAAACCAGTGTTGAAAATAATTCTCTAAAAGGTGCTAGCAATAAAGCAAAGAGAAAAACAACAAGAAAAGTACGAAGCACCCCATCCTGCTTATACTGGATTTGCGTCTACCACTTTTCCAAATGTTTTGTTTTTCAGGAAAAAATGGTAACTAGCTAAAAGTACTTTAAACAAAGCAGAGATTTGGGTTAGTGGAATAACATCAACCATCTGCCCACATATTGTTACCTGATGAGAAGCAAGGGAAATTGGAGAATTGTCACCATGAAGGATACTAAGTGGGGAACGTCCAGTATCAGTTGGCATTGCCAGCATTTTGTTACCGATTCTGCGTTTTACTGACTTGCTTCCTGGGGATTAGAAAGGAAGAGAAGAGTGTGAAAATTCATCACAATGTTTCTTATTTTTCAGAACAGAAGCTCAAGAACCATAATACCTCTCACCTTTGTTATCCTTATGTAGTAAAAGAATTCGTTTATGTGAATTTTGCTAGCATAGTTAACAATATAACTACACTACATTCCTTTTTCTTCCTTAGTTGCAGCACAGTCTCAGTTTAAGTTGACCTTCTCACAGTGGCTGCTGAAGTAGACTACTATAAAGTTAGCCAACATAGGTTCCAGTTTCTTGGGGACTGAAGGTGTCTTGTATAATGCAGCTGGGTACCAGATTCATGAGAATTAGCAGCTTAGATTGGCAAGACAATAACACAAATAAACATCTATGTAGACAGAAATAATACTGATCAAATTGACTTGCTTCACTCAGAAGATCACTGTTAGAGGAGTGATGGAGCTGTTGAACAGCTTTGGACAATTAATCTCACCTGTAGGGTGAATGATGCGGGCAGACCGTACTGGTTTTGTTGCAGCTGCAACAGAAACCATGGAAAACAACTGCTCATTTTCCCCTTCTTCTGCTTGCTGAGAATCCTCTAGGAAAATTTCCCCAGAAGAAACTGTGCTCCTTGCAGTCCTCTCCTCCATTCCAAAGGTGAATTCAGATTTTTTATCTTCATGCCGAGATTCCTCTTGAGGTAGTTCTTCCTCTCTATTTTCTCCCATAAAGTTTTCACAAAACAACTTCACTGGGTAGTTTATGGTATCTGGACAGAAATCAAATTCCAGAATTAAAAATGTATACAACAGTACAAAAGGAAATTTCAAAGACTAGAATAATACCCTCTGCCTGCCAAGAACCTTCTATAAGCACTGCCTTAAATGGTGCATAACTCAGCCCTAAGATGTCGGGGCATATGTATAAGACGGTAGTGGCTGTTAAAATTGTGCACATAATCTTCTCCCACTACTTTGGCAAATCTTTTCCTTCTGTACAATCACTGAAGAAAGAAGCTGAGTATCCCCCACCCCTCTTGTTCCAAATATAGAAAGTCAGAAGTAGAATCCAGTCTCACACATAGAATACAAGCCCATTAACATGAGAACTTCACTCCCAATAAGCACCCTAGCAAGCACCCATCCTTCTTGCTCTGTGATGTCAAGATCATATAGAAGGCTGATCTTAGTCATAATTAACCAATCAAGATGACATTGATCACACTCTTGGATCACTTCTGATGGGAGCAAGATGGAAATGAAGCAGCCATCCTTGCTCTTCTTGATCTGTCAGAGACTTTCAATTTCATTGATCTTAGTATCCTTTTGGACCAGATTCAGGAGTTGGATATCGGAGAGCATAGTATTGTCTCCTCCCTCCAGAGTCAATTCCAATCAGTGTTGATGTACAGGGTATGTGTGAAATCCCACTAGCAGTCTCTTCTTTGTAAAATGCCATAGGGCTCAATACACTCTCTTATCTTGATTAACATCTCCCCTCTAAAATTTTGGGGTTGGTATCATCAGTATGCTGTCTGCCATATGTCTCCCCCCTAGGCCACCTGAAGATCTGTCTCTGCATCTGGAGACTAGGGGGGAGGCCTGGGTGTGGTGCAACAAACTTCAGCTCAACCCAAGCAAGACTGAATGGTTTTGGGATTTTGGACCTCTTGGATTCCGCGTAAGGAGGCCTTGCCTAGCGTAAAATTTGGGTATCCTCCTGGATCCACAGCTCCTGCTCAAAAAGCAGGTAGCATTTGTGGGTCATATGTTCCAGTTCCTGGAAAGGGCAGCCTTGCTCATGGTCACTCATGCCTTCATGCCTGAATTACTGCAATGCGCTTTACAGGGTGCTACCCTTGAAGAGTATTGGAAGCTCCAAGTGATGCAGAAAGCAGAAACGTGGACAATTACTGATGCCAATTACACAGCACATGTGACACCATTACTTCATGAGCATTGGCTTTCAGGTACAATTCAAGGGGTTGCCTATCACTTTTAAAGCCCTTCATGGCTTAGGATAGGGTTACTTATCTCTCCCCAGTTGTTTCTCCCTGTCCTACCCAAAGACGGGAAAGACATGTTTTAAGTACTATTGGTTACAAACTGTCGAGGCCCAGGAAAACTTTTTCTGTTATGGCACCAGCCCTTTAGAACATCACCCACCCTGAGATTAGATTTGCCCCATCCCTTATTGGCCTTTCCTAAGTATTTGACTGTGATTCCCAGGAAGGAGGGAGTGTATTCCAAAGGAGCAAAAGACAGCGAAGTCTTGGTAGTCTGCATGGGAGAAAGTGTTAAAACTATTTCTTCCCTAGTAGTTTTTAAGAGTATATGTTTAATGATGCAAATACTTTGCTTTAAGTTTGGGCAAGATTTCTGTCTTGTGTGGTAAGAAACTGCTTAGAAGAACCTCAATCTGCCATTCTTGGTTTTTGGACTTGATATTAATCTACAAAAGGGCCTTGAGAACTTGTTTTGGGGCCCTAGGTGTGGGTTAAAGCCTGTCTCCAAACTGTGCAGATGATTAGTTAGGTAATGCCAGCTGCTTTGGTTTTATTGTAAGCCACCTAGAGCCACATAGACTTGAGTGGGTGACTTCAATTGAATAAATAAACTGGAGGGATTATTTAGGGTGAATATTAACAAATGCGTCCATGCAAAATGCTTTATCACTGGTTAATTTAACTATTTCAATATTCTTAGTTTTCCCAACTCATTAATTCACAAACCATACCACTGGATTCATACATCACACTACACTAAAATTGTTAGATTTTTATTCTCTCCCTTTATTTTGGACAACTCAATGCAGGATAAATACCTAATACTCCCGTAACAATAACCCTATGAAGTGGATTCAGCTGATAAGAGAGACTGCCCCAAAGTCACATAGCCAGCCTTTATACCAGTGGTGGGTTGCTCCCGGTTCGGTCCAGATCTATAGAACCGATAGCAAAACTGGTGGGAGGCCCACCCGCCAAGACATCATCATGGGTGATCTGTGCATGCGCAGAAGCGTGTGAGCTCCTGCTGTGAACCGGTAGTAAAGGTAAGTGGAACCCACCCCTGCTTCATACCTAAGGGATGTCTAGAACTTATCTTTTGGTTTCTAGCCCAGTTTAAAGTTTGGTAAGTTACATTAAGATAGCTGAGATATAGGATCAACTATCAACTGAAAAGTAGACTCATCAGCACATTTATTGGAACAGCAGAGAATCAACAGCTTCAAATAAAACAAAAGAATAGTCCTGTCTCATTTGTAATGAACCATTAGCACTCCCACAGTCCTTTTGGCATATAAATTAAAGCCAGCCAGCCAGCCTAGGAAAGTGCGAGACTTTCCACATAGCAGTTCTGATTTAAAAGAAGATTGGGCCAGAAATATATCCCTACTTACCAGCTAACACATCTTTTAGAGGAGTCCGTGAAATTCCTGGCGTTGGGGAACGAGGATCCCAGTTCTCATGCTGGCTTTTGGCTACCAACTCCCCTTGTTTTGGAAATTGTGTGTTGTCTTTGGGGGAACTTTCTACCTAAAAGCAGAGAAAAGCGAACGAAGTTAAAACAGCAGATATAAAGGGAAGGTAAGATGGAAAAGCAAATCCTTTGTTCTGAAAGACAGGCTTCCATGTACCTCAATGGGTGTTCTCAGGATCCCAGCAGTAGGTGACCTTGGGTCATTGACATGTTTCAGGTGCTTATTCAGCAAAGGTGTGCAGGTGGGCGTAGCTGGGAAACTCTCAGAAGCCCCCATGACAACTGTTTGGGAACGCAGGAATCCTGCAAAACAACAATCAACCTTACAATCCAAGGAAAAAGACAAGAAGACGCAGCTGAAGCCCCTATTGCAGCAACCCAAACTCTCTTCTACCTCCGAGAGAAGGAGCGGCCATAAATTCGTCTGATCAACCTGCCCTCCGTCTTCCAATTCAGCGCAAGCTCACATTCCCCCACCCACCCCAAAGCACCCTCTTCGCTTTTGTAGGACTCGGTCGCCCAAGCTCAGGCTCGCTTGGGCCCACTAGACTTGTATTCGAATCTCCCGCTTTCCTCCCACCAGCCTCTCTGCGACAGCTCTGATTGGAGCGAATGGCTGCCAATCGCTCAGACGACTCTTTTTTCCTGCTCATTTGAAAACGCGACATCCCCTTTTCTACCTTTCTGCCTCCCTGTCCTCTTGCAATTGGCTGGAAAATAATTTTAACTCTTCTATCTGTTGTTTTATTGGACTAGAATGCCGTCAATCTATTGGAAGGCTAAACCCACCGGCGTTACCTCATTGGCTAGTTTAGACAAATACCCATCTCCCAATTTCTCATTTTGAAGACTAATAACATCGGGGCGGAGCTAAGAACATAACCAACGTTTCCATTTGTAGAACGTTTATCTGCAATCCTGATTGGCTATAATGGATGTCCGTTTGAAAAATAGGCATTTGAAGGACAAATCAAACAAAAATATATTGCGTCCCTGAGGGTTTACGGAGTACACGCCCACTTCCCTTTGTGCCGCCATTCATTGGCTGGAGAAGCTTAGCGTATGTTGTCTTCTGATTGGTAGGTGTTCGCTGTGGGCGGTGTTGGAGAAAGCAGCTGTCATGGCGGAGCTGAGTGAGGCACTACTTTCTGTGCTACCGTCTATCCGGGTGCCCAAGGCCGGGGACCGCGTCCATAAGGATGAGTGCGCCTTCTCTTTCGACACTCCGGTAAGCTCTCATGTGAAAAAGACGGGATCTGGTGGGGATTCTGTTATCTTCACAGTCTCCGACATACCGGGCGGGGAAGGTAATATGACCCGCGCAAGGCCTCACGGGACTTGTATTTTACCAGGGAACGGCATCCACTTCAAATCCCCCATAAGGAACCAAGCGAATACTACAAATCCCAAGAGTTTCAGCGGCCAAATCGTTCTTTCGGAAACTACTTGGCTTTCTGGGGATTGTAGTTCCTCGAGATCTCATCTCTGAGGTGGGGCGTTGCTGTCATGGTCATCTTATTCACCAGACCGTATGGCCAGCCGTGGGGTCTGCTGGATACTGAGCTGCTTTACTACCCCCACGATAGAGCAGCTTAAGTAGAACAAGACGAGAGCCTCGTGTGGCATGCCGGGCACTGTAGTCTTAGTTGCCTGGCTGCCACTAAGAGTGAAAGATTGAGCCCCGCCGCACTACTGAAGTCTCTGGAACTATCTAGGCATGCCTCGCGGGGCATGATGGGAAACGAAGTCCCTCTCCCATTAGTTTTAGTGCCAGACCTTCCGCTCAGGAACTGCTAATCCCAGAGACCTTTGGTGGAAGGGACGTGTCAGCCCTTTTGGTTTTTGAATCAGACACATGGGCTCTGTACCATCTAGGTAGCTCTCCATCACCCGGGTTGCTCTTCTCTCTTTCCCATTTCGCACTGTGGGATGAGTTCCTCATCCAGTTTCTTCCAAGGCGTATGTGGGAATCGCTCCCATTGTTATGGGAGGTGCTAATGTCTGTAGCTGGGGTCCCCTTGACTGGGAGAGAAACCTTCTGGGCAGCCACGCCTTTCTCCCAGAGTGAATCAAGCAAGCCTGGTTAGGCTACAAGCGAGTTTTAAGGGAGGTTCACAGAAAGATTCATAAATGTTTGCTTGATTTACTGATTCATTTATCCTGCTATGCCGTTCCCCTAAATCCTCTGCCATTTCTGAAGACAGTTGCCTTTTTCTTCTGGATATGAAGAATGCAAAAGCATCCTATTTTGTTGGGCGGGGCGGGGGGGGGGTTACCCTTCTCAGAGTTCAGTATAAATTAGACCCCTGCTATCAGGATCTGTTGAATTTCCTTTCCAAATAATAATTTTAAAGAGTATCATTATTTATTTCCTTTTTTTTTTCTTTTGAAACAGGGTGATCATTTTTCTCTTGTGGGCTTATCGTATCAGAGAGAAAGGCTGCATTTTGTGAACATTCACAATTTATATGGGACACTTACAAATTTCTCCTAATATACAGTATATGCAACAAGGCTAATGAGTTGCTAGTTAGGAATAGAAGAATATTGTTCTGCAAGAGCATGTTTTGACATCCCTGCAATAGCAGCGCTCCTTTTATTAGTCATATCTGCAACCTTCAAAACGGCAATGAACAATATTTGTTAACAATTAATAATTATCTGGGATAATTGTGTAAGAAAGAATTATTTCATGTAATTTCTTACAAATGATAGGATGCTGCTTATCATTTGGAGTGCTTCTTGTATAACTATCATATTAAACAGTTAATCACCTCTTTTGAGGGACTAGGTCTGTGCTCTTATAGAAACGAGTAAGATAAGAGTATTCTTATAGAATACTCTTAAAGAATATTTTTAACTGACGTTATTGTGTACTGTAGCTCTGTTTAGCACTCTCATAGGTAGTGTGATGCTTGTGGACATTTTCCTTGCTGTCTATCAGGCTCACTTATTGTCTTGTCATTCCCATCCTCCCATATGTGTTTTAATAAAAATCTATGGCAGTGCCTCATGCTGTTTATTTTTTAAAAATGCTTGTGGATTCCACATGGATTTCATAAGAGGAATGATTGAAGATCAATGTCTAATTTGTAAGGGTGTCCAATTGCTGAGAAAAAAACAGAAAATGTTCCGAATTTTCTGAACTATTTTGTTCAGAATTGTATTCCTTTCCCCTGCTGTTAACTCTTGAACAGTCATATTGTTGCTCTATAGACTGCACGAACATCCAGTAAAAGCCAATAGCCATATAAAAATGTTTATTCAGTTGAGGTGGAAGAAATCCACATATTCTGTATTCTGGACATATTTTACACAAACCAAATTGAAATGTCAGAAGTTTTGCATTCAGGTTCAGGTGTTTTCTCTACATTGCAATAGGGGACTTGTGCCCTTCAGACACTAGTACTACACTAAAACAACCACACTAACATCATAGTCAGTAAGGATATATTCTGGGAGTTTCGGTTCAGCAATGTTTGAAGGACCATAGTTTCCCCATATTTTCTGTAGATGGCAAAATGATGCAGAAATGTGAATATAAATGCTTGAGGCTTTCTTCTGCTAAAATAGGCACTACTGTTGTATGAATATCATGGGAATCTAGAGTAGCCAAACAAGATCTGTGAACTGAATTATTGTAGTCATTTAGTTTCTGGAGCATAGAACTTTAAGAGCAGTTTATCTGGTGTGACTGCAATAACATTGATGCACAATTATAATCTGGGAGCCACATAAAGAGGTTAATAAATGGATGATAATTTTCAATGAATCTATCTTCATATGAAATAATTTTATAGTGTCCTATTGATAAGGGACCACTAAAGATCATTGCAACAAACTGCTTCATCCCCATTGCTGAGAATAGGTTTGGTCATTTGTGGGTGACAGCACCAAGGAATTCTTCCTGCTATTCTGAACATCCAAATAAATCCATATGTGACCACAGCCAAAACAACTAGAAAAAAATGAAATGCAAGTTTCTAGACTTCATGACTGCAAACGTATATTTGTGTATTTTTTATCTTAAACTACTAAGCTTTTGGAAGGAAGAGATCTCACTAATACAAGATTCTCTGAGGGAAATTTCAGTGCCTGATAGAATTTGGAAAAATATTTATAAGGAGGGATTTTTGTAAATTGTATTAATGAAATTATGTATTTGAGTAATTTACTTGGGCTACAACATTTTATACACAGCCTTAAAAATTTGGTATTCTGGGATTGGCTGAGCTCCCTTCCTGTTGAAGTCATGTCTTTCTTTATTCTGTAGGAGTCAGATGGAGGAATATATATCTGTATGAACACATTCCTGGGCTTTGGAAAGCAGTATGTGACAAAACATTATGAAAAAACAGGCCAGCGAGTCTATTTACATCTTAAGAAAATACGCAGATTGGTAAGAAGGGCAACTTTTTTGCCTTGTGCAGAACTTGCTTATTTAAATTTCAGAGCAGAGGAAGAAAGATGGTTACAATTGATGCTGCTGTGTGATTTCTTGCTGCCCAAGAGTCTGGACATTTGGAATGGCTGGCTTGCTAATTAACTCTCTTCTGGTTCTTCTGTAGAAAGAAGAAAATAATTCCAGTGCTGGTGATCCTCCCCGGAAGAAACCAACCCGTCTAGCTATTGGTAAAAATCTAAACCTACTCTTCTATTATACTATGTGAGAAAACCTTGATGGGAGAGAACATGAATAGACTTTAGTTTTAAGACTGTCAGAAGATTTGAGTTCATGTTCCCTCTTATGTTTTTTCTGTAAGCTTACTCAAAGCTTGCATCATTTGGCATCTTGTTTAATTAAGATGTCATGGTTCCGAGTAATGGCCCAATCAATTCAAGACTCTGAGCCTGTGGTTTTTCCCAAAGATCCATTTTATTGGGTACATCATATTGACAGATTCAAATGTGAAACCAACTCTGAATATTTCCCGTGCTTTGGTACAAATAAAAAATAGATATTGTCCACCCACCCTTGTGTTACAGATCATGTTAACCAACTAAGCAGGTGATGAACTTCTCATCACTCCCTCCTGCCATTGTTAGGGCACGTTGAGCTGACCTTGGTTCTCATGAGCCTTATCACTGTTATGTCTGGCACTGTAAAGGAAAACATTCTACATTCTTCAAAGCCCCCTCCCCCTCATATGCACGGCAACTTAGAAACTAAGCAAAGAAAAAATATGGCTTCAGCTAGAGTTGTTTTGAGAGTTGACATAAGATTTCACAGCACCCAGAGTTTATGATGTTGCTTCTTACACTTCTCAACTGCTACTGTTGCATATCTGTTTTGATAGGTGTAGAAGGGGGATTTGATCTCCCAGAAGAGAAATATGAATATGATGAACATGTCAAAATAGTTATTTTACCAGAGCATTTGGATATCCCTCAGGATGGACTAGAGGGTCTGCCAGATATGGTGAAGGACAGGGTAAGCACTGCGATTCATCCAGGAGGGGAAAAATCACATGGTCTGATTGGCTTTGCACTAGAGGTAGAGTTGACATGATGCATCAGCCTTGGATGTATGGGGAATTTTTTTTAGTTAAAATAGTATGTAAGACTTCAGATCTCTGTTGATAGTAGATATTTTAGGAGGGATTTGGAAGTCTGACTCT